CTCTTCTTTTATAGAAGTTCTCTAGAAGTTGTGTAGTTTTATTTTTTGTATTGGAATTTATGTGTCAGTTTCAACCAATTCTCGAACATGAGGCAGTATTAGGTTCAAGTTCATTTTTCTTTTTTTTTTTTTTTACTGCTTACTCAATTTGTCCAGCACCATTTATTGAAATTATTACTATTATTCCATTGAAATGATTTTGTGTACTTGTGAAAAATCAGTTCAGCTACTTTTATATGTATTTCTAGTTTTCTATTTTGTTCCATAAGTCTATGTATCTCTCCCTCTGCCAATTCCACACTACTTTCATCACTGTGACTATACAGTATGTCTTAATATTTGGTAGAGTGATTCTTCCCACTTTATTATTTTTAGTCAAAATTGCTTCAGTTATTCAGGTATCTTTGTTTTATGTATGTATTTTCATATAGGCTTCTTTGTGTCTATACAATGTTATAAAGGTTGCGTATTGACAGAAATTACATTAAACTTGCATATCAATTTAGGGCAGTGGTGGCAAACTGTTATCGTTTGTGTCTAGCTGTCCCCCAGAGTCTCTTGCAGTCATGGGGTGGACTTCTAGAGTCTGTGATTAACTCATGATCCTCTGGGATTAGGGCTGTGAGTACTTCCCCCAGTCTTGGGCGGCTAACCTGAGTGCACCACAAGGGAGACAGACTTGCTCTTTGTAGCCATTGCTGCTGCTGCTCCTCCCATTTGCTCTTGCCGTTCTGCTGTTTCCACTGCCATGGGCTGTTGCTGTCTGCCTTGGATCTAGCATTGTAGGGACTCAAACCTCCACAGCTGTGAGCAAATAAACCTTTCCTTTCTTCATTTTGAGTGTCAGGTATTTGTCCCAGCAATGAGGGAACAGTAATTGAGACATGAAACTGTGGCACACATGTCACAGGGGCTGTTTGTTTCATTGAAAGCTCTAAACAGTTCTCCATCACTGATTTAGGAAACACAACTATATGGACTTTAATAATTTTTGTATATAATACATCTTAACATTTTTTAGGTCCTTGTAATTTTTTTAATCATTACCTTGTAAGGTGCTTTCCATGTTTTGTTACATGGATGACTAAATTTTAATATTCCTTGGAATGAATGTAGAAGATTGAATACTATTTAATTTTGATCTTATTATGTTCATTGTTAGTATAAGAAACTCTATCCTATGACCTACTTAATTCAATTCAAGAAAAATTTGTTTGTTGTTAATTTTTAGATTTCTTTTTATTTTTTAATTTAGACAATAGAATAATATTATGTAAGTGGAATTCTACTTTCCTCTTTTCAAAACTCTGTGCTTTTTTCTCATTTGTTGCAATAATTATAACTGCTAGTATTGTGTTAATAGACAGCATGAGGCAAGAATGGACATACTTTCTGATATTAAATGAAAACCTTTATGTTCTTGCCATTAAGTAAGATTATAGAAATAGTGTTGTGATACTTTTCAATAAATTTTTTTGATTCTAAATTCGTGATACACTAAGCCCCCAAATTCATGGCAGAATTTGCCAGCATTAGAGAAAAGATAAGGAGAAAAGGCTGCAAAATTTCTACCACTCAATATTGGATTATTTTATATTTATTTTCATCCTGATGAGAGCTGTCCTGATGAGAGACTATAATTCTTGTCACAATTTGACCATATATAATGTAATTTGCCTTTGAGCTCTACATGCAGTCTGCCACTACGTATTTTAATGATCCAATATGTTAGAAGCTTACACTACTTTTTTCTCCTAGTGGCTAGCATTTCTATGAAAATTAGAAAATCCTGTTAGTCCATAACTCTGGCATATATGTTCCTCCGCATTCATGCTTCACTGCCTGATACATTATGTACAAATTACTTATTCTATAAGAGAAGCCTACCTAGCATACTCTAAACTCAAAAGAATCTGTTTTCCAATTTGCAAGTGGGCAAAAAAACACGAACAGATATTTCACTGAAAAGGATGTATGTGTGGCGCATAAGCACATAAGCAGATGGCCAGCACCATGAGCCACCAGGGAAATGCAGATTAAAATCCTAATGAGTTATTACTGCACACCGCTAGCCACACACCTACCTGCGCTCATGTGGCCAACTTCTGCTCTCTAAAGCATCCTTTACACCTTTTAAGTGTCCATTTATATTTATATTTCCCCCCAACTCACCAGTGCCACATAAAGTGCCACTGTCAGCCTCAGGCTTGTCTCTTAGTCACTTTACTGTTGCCTCTCACACAATAGCTGACACTAGCAATTTAAAAAAAAGACAGGCTTACTTGGCTTAGAGTTTGAGAAGTTTCGGTCCATTGTGGGTAGACTCAAATGCAGCAAGAGCACGATGGAAAGGCCTGTATGCAAGGGAAGCCACACATGGACACCAACAAACAGAGAAGGGAGGAGAAGCTGGGAGGTATATTCGAAGTCACACCCAAAAGGACCTCCTCCTACCTAGGCCCCAGATTTTAACGTCATACTTACCCACTAACTCATTATGGATCCATCTGTCATGAGCACAATGCCCTATGATCCTGATGCCTTCCAATGAAAACCCTCTACTTCTGAACATAGGAGACTTTGGGGGACTGTAGCAGATCTAAACCATGAAAGCAGGTCCCTGGTAATTCGTACTTCCAAATTGAACATATAATAGGCTGCTGTTTCATACAGTCTCAACAAATACTTTTTAATAAGGGGCTTCTTCCTTTGTTATCCTTAGCAGCCTATAGATGTTTAAAGGATTCTCTATTTTATAAGTATCTGGTAACTTCTGAAAAATTTGAGGAATATTCTGAAATGCTGAATATGGATTGAAATTTACATATCTTAATGGGAAGCCACAAAATTTTGGTGTATTTAAGGTTTATCTATGGGTTTTTAAAAAAATTCAGTCCCCTGGATAGAACCCCCAGAAATCCTAATTCATGTTTTTAAATGCTTGTTATATGTCTTCATTTTTACATCAAGAATCCCAGTGTGTCCTTGGACCATACCTTGAGACTATAGGGTAAGAATTCAGGAGATGGTCTTGTACTTGAAGGAAAGAATCTACTATATTTACAGTAGCTGGCTATAAACAAAGCCCTGGTGACCGCACTGAAGTCATCTCAGAGCTTGTGTGCTAAGAACTGCACACACTGGGTGTCAGGAAGTGCTCATGGCCCTAACGTGCTGTGTCCGTCAAGTGCTTGGGCCAGTGTACAGGTCCGTGTGAGGTTAATCTGCTTAGACAGGACACAGTTTCCCTTGGAGGAGACAGTAGTGGCATCAGTAGAACCTTTTTTAAAAGAAAATTTTGTAGCTAAAATCATTGATGGGAAAAAATTTCACGGTGGGTAATTATGTGGCGGAGAAAATAAGGCATTGGGCAGAAAAATAGCAATGTTTATAAATACTCACTTGTCAAGAAAGTAGCCTTGGGAAATCAGTTCGTCATGAACAGGCTGCGTTCTGGTACGAAGTGCTTCCTTTCTGGCCCTCGCTATGGGGAGGGCGGGGACGGTCTGGGTTTTCAGTTCTTACACAGTTACACTTCTCGAACCCGAACGTGTTGAGAATGTTGCATGTTAATTAAAGGTCCAGGATGATACCGTGCTGTATCACACCATGTTTAGAGGCCCCAGACACCGTTTTTCTTCTTTTCTGGGCACACATAATCTGCGTTTTGCCGATTTGCTTTTCTGCATGGTTATAACTTAAAATAAGCCTTCTTATTCGCTTCCAGTGTACAGAATCATATTAAGATATTGATGAGTGCCTCCAGATAATTTTATCATTTTAAAGATAATTGTTGTTGTTTTTACATCCTTCAAAGAAAAATTGAGCTCTCCCAGCTTGTGTGCTCAGGCTCGTGTCCTGCGCGGCCATCACCGCTGCACCGTGCAGCAGCCGTCACGGTGCGGGGCAAGCGGATTCTCCCACAGATTGGCAGCGCAGTTACTCTGATGTAGAAGGGACAGCCCAAAGTGTCTTCACTGTAATTCACAAGCATTTTTTAAATGAGAGTTTAGAGAAACAGTAGATATTTCTTCTGTTTTCCTGATAGAATTAAACTTTTCAAAAATAAAACAAAATGTAAGCCCATAGAAATTTCTCTGGGCTGAGGTTTAAGCTAGAAAGTATTAATCAGTACTTGCTGGCCTGGGTTGTTTATGGGGGAAAAAATTACATCTTTTCTAAAAATAATCACTGGTACATGCACTACCAAGGACTGAACTTGGGACCTTGTGCCTGCCAGGCAGGTGCTTAAGCTGCTGAGATAGCGCTTCACATCTTGGTTGCTGTTTTCTAAAAATTTTATTAACATTTGAAAAAAATATTCCTTTGATGATTATAAAAAGACGTTTGTTTTTAATAGCTATAAATAAAAGTGATCCAATTCACTGTTTTTCTTTGAATTCTGCTTACTGATCTACCACCTCTTCAGAAGGGTGAGAAGGACAGGGACAAATAGGACCTATATCCAGGAACTGAACACTTTGGAGTATTTTTGAAAATAACATTAATCACAGGTAGAGCAACAGTTACTTAGGAAGTTGATGATCAAATATTTTAAGGGAAAATTCATGAATAATTTATTATTATGGTAAGGTGAAGCTAAAAGTCTTTATGATACAGAGAATCACTGGGGCAGATATGGAAATCATATTTATGAATGCTTTTTTGATTCAGGACATGTTATTTCAGCCTTTGAACCATGGTGTTTTCCGATTAGGTCATTCGAACATATGCTTTGTCTTTCTTGGTTCCCCATGCTCTTTTGACCCTTCGATGGCAACTCAGAATTCACTGGTGCATACTGGCCTGGTATTGCTGGTTTTCCAGAAGCCAAAATAAAGGAATCCACATCCTATTTTTGGACTTCAAAGAAATATTCTCCTCTTCAATTCTGGAGAAGGGATTTTTAAAATTATTCTTCTAAATAAAGAATATTTTGGTATAAAAATTTGGTTTCATTTTTTAAAAATTGGTATTATTTTGTCTTGTTTTCAAATCAGATCTTGAAAATTTTAAAACCAAAATGAGAAGTACAGTGTCAGTGCGCGAAGGCCAGGGAGTTGTGCTGCTTTGTGGTCCTCCGCCACACTCGGGTGGTAAGTAGAGCCCTGTTTTCTGCTTTTTCCATTTATTAAGTTTCAGGGCAAGGCCTGTGGCATGCATACTGTCATTGCTTCTGTGAATTACCTGAAAGCCCGAGCATTAGTAGATTCTGTCAACTGAATAGGAATAATAAGTACTCTGCAAAATATGAAACATCCAAAGGGTTTATATACATAATCTATGCATTCTAACAAGGAGGGGCTCAAAGGCAACTGAGATCAAATTGATTTTGATTACTTAAGGATGCTGAATAATGCTTTGTGCTTATACCATTACCATTTGTTATTTAGCTTTAGACCATAGTCCCTGATACAAATTGAGTGTTTCTCTCTCTGTCTCTCTCTCTCTGTCTCTCTCTATCTTTGTCTGTCTCTCTCATTCATATATGTAGACATGCATAATCATTAATATGTACCACTGGATCTCTTTATATATGTAGTATATACAAAAATGATATGTACATGTGTATTCACTTTACTTTCCTTGAACTATTGGAATTGCAAATTTTATACTGCTTCGGTATAGATCAAAATACAGCAATCTAAAATACACCTATGTAAATTGAAATATATTTCCAGAAATCCAGAAGCTTAAAAATACAACTACCCAGAGTGAAAATGAACTTTAGCACCTATGAAAAGAATTGAATTGGCTTCCCAGTATGAGCCTGGAATGCTGGTTTGATTTTGCTCTCTTGCTCACTATTGTAAATTTGGCCACTTGTGGGACAAAGAGGGCATTATTAATATATAAATCAGTGTTCTCTGAGAAATGAACGCATTCCGTTACAGAGAAATTGAGAACCACTGAGAGATAAATAAGTTATGGAGGTTCTTTCTCGCCAGAAGTAAAATTAAGAAGTATTTTTTTTAAGTTATAGTATATCCTTTACAAATGAAAGTATTCTAGATTTTGTTCTGTGCCAAAAAAGTCCTTTTTTTTCCCTAGTGAATTGTCAATTTGAATCAGAAATCTCAATCTAATACTACAAATATCTCTGATCATAAATATGTGACCATGTGAAAAACACAAGCCATGTGGAGCCTGCAGATTGGAGACTTAGGTAACAGGATTGCTAATGTGCCTGCTCGTATGTGGCTACATTTAGTTTCCTAGCCTAATTTAGTACATTTTTTTCCTGGAATATTGAAGATCCAGAGGAACCTGAACTTTTAAGGTAGCATAGTCTTTTGATTATACATTAAAGCAACTGAAGTCAGATTGGCTTGAAGATAGGGCGTTCACACACTATAACTGGCTTTCTCACTGAACTGTAGGGTTTGCAAAGAGTTGTGCTAACCCAGAAGTATTTGCTACCTTGCTCTGGGGTGGGCGTCAGCAGCTGGCCCTAAGCTCCCAGGCACACAGAGGCTTTGCCCTGTGGTCCCACCCTGGCTTGCACATCTGGTGACTAGCAAGGCCAGCACATGCCTGGGCCACCATTTCTGACCAACAGAGGGTGATTCTGATGGGCAGCATTCAATCTACAGCTTCCTGCAAGAATTACCAAATCTCTTCCAGACCATCTCACAGTTTCTTTCTTACCTAGGCCCGCTTCTATAGCCTTCTTTTTTCAGTTTTGATTGTGGATTGAATGCCTTTATCCCAATCTCCATGCAAGCATCTGCTCCTGAAAGCCCAGTGTGCTGAATCTAGGAGTTCAATCAGTTCCATAAACAGTGAGTCTTCTCTGTATTCTCAGCTCTTCTTTCTCCATTGTCAGCATTGGCAAGTTCATTCCTTCTGCCCCTCCCCAGTCTCTTGCCATCCTTAAAGCTAATGATCCTGATTAACCACAGTGTTTCTCAGTGGTTACTGAAAATAGCTGCATGATGTTTGTTTGTGGAATTTTCACTTCAGCTATTGGATGGAGGTTGATCTACCAACTGAAAAGCCCTGAAATGAGAAAGAAGAAGGTTTTGAAAGAATAGAAGGGATTTATTATGAGGAAAAACAGAGAGAGACATACATAGAACTGAGTAATGGTTAGAAATACATCTAGTAAGAATATACCAAAATTACTTAAGTTTATCCTGGCTCAAAGCAGTAGAAAACAATATCACATTCCTATAAAAATTTTTGGAATTGTTTGCCCAATTTAAAAATTAATTAATTTTCTTTTAGTACTTTTTAATTAGTATATTCATTGATGAGAGGAAGGGGAAGCTTAATTGACTGACTATGCACCCATTGGGCATTTCTTGTAAAGCTGTTATATTAAACAGGGTCCAAATGATGAAGGAGATAGAAATTTTCCAAATATCACAGAGCAATGAGGAAGTGCAGCAAGAACCCAGATGGTGTGTCTGCTGCCCAGAGCTCTGCATATACCCTGTTGACAGCAGCAGTCCCAAGACATGACATCCTGGTTCACCTCTGCCTTTGGAGTCATTAGTTCTCTTCTTGCTCAGAGGGCAGTCAGATAGAGTGACTGTGGACATTTAGTAACATGCAGTTGAGCAAGAAAGGAAAGCTCCCCAGACATCCTGCACTCACCCTAAAGGATAAAGGACATGTCAGACTTTTCACTAGATTGGCCAGGGCCACAGCGTGAGGTTCAGATTAAAAAACAACAGCAACAAAAACCAAACAGACAACCGTTATTCTCATTGACCTGTGTGTCCTGACATAGTCACAGTTCATTTCCATGGTGCTGACGCATTGTTTTGACCCAAGTGCCTAACGCAATGATGGTATGTAAGAGAAGGTCAACAACTATCTTTTGAACAACGGACCACATTGTGAAATTTTAAATCCTTTAAAATTTTGGAAAACTTAAAAAATGTTGGGGCTGGTGAGATGGCTCAGTGGTCTAAAGCACCTACTTAGAACAAGCTTAGCAAAGCACAGGGACTGGGTTCAATCCCCCAGCACCACATGCCAGCCAGCCCCGCCCCCTGGGGCTGAGCTGGACACACACACACACACACACACACACACACACACACACACACATAAATAAAAAAAATGTTTCTTCAAAGTCTAAAGAAACGTTATTTTCTTATAAGCATTGAACAGTTAAAATGCTACATATAAGCATTGAATAGCCAAAATGCCCTGGGTGCTCACCAGGCCAGTCACAGTCTCTGGTGGATTGGAATGAGTTCTGTCCACACCACCACATGGCAGCAGACTGGTGTTCTCTCCCACAGGTGACTTAGGACTTGAATTCAGGGGAAGCGGAGCCAGTTCAGAGGGCAGCTGATGTGGTGACTCTCAGCTTGCTCAGTGTAAGGCACCAAGAACTTTGCAGAGTTCTATGGCCTTTCCTGGGGGCCACTTGGGTCCCCCAGACAAACACTGACTCTCCTGTCTCCACTCGGTTACCGCTCTTCACAGGAGCTTCCTTCCTTCTCTTTCCTGTGGTAGGCAATATTTACATTTGTTATTTTCTGTTTACATTGTTATTGTTTATTTGTTATTTTCTGCTTCTCTGCCTTCATTAGATTTCTTCTTACAGCAGCCTAAGCAGCCTAACAGTGTAAGCACCAAAAGTCAATAATAATGGTATCAATGGTAGTCCTAATCTGTGTTCATTGAGTGTTCCTTAGATGCTAGATATTTATGGAAATTTTATGCTCATGAGATTCTTCTGGTTAAGTGTGGAGAGGAATGGGATGAGCATCAATCTAAGAACTTTCAAGCTCTGTCCTGGAGATGCCAAGAGTATGAGCTCTCAGCGGGTTATATCTGAACATCTCAAGCTAAAACCTGCATACTTACTTGCATATTTATTATACTATATATTTATAATAGTGTTATGGTTTAGGTCTAGTTGTCCCTGAAAGCCTCGTGCAGTCATGGGACGGACTTCTAGAGTTTGTGATTAACTCATGTTCCACTGAGATTATGGATGTGAGTGCTGCCGGGATTATGGGTGTGAGTACTACTCCCAGCCTGGGGCAGAGAGCCTGCATGCAACTTAAGGGAGACAGACTTGCTCTTTGCAGCCACTGTTGCTGCTACTCAGACAGCCATTTTGCTCTCTGTTCTTTGCTGCTGCCATGAAAGTTTGCCCTCTGCCATGTGCCACTCTGCCTTGGAGCCAGTCGAGTACAGATTGAAACCTCCAGTAACTGTGAGCAAAATAAACCTTTCCTTCCTTCATTTTGAGTGTTGGGTATTTGTCCTAGGAATGAGTGAAGAGTGAGAAAAATGCATAATAATTCCACACATTTGGGGGTTGGGCACATATGGGTACAACTTCTCTGTTGTCTTGACTCCGCATCCCCAGCCCTTCCTTCTCACTCCTTCTTCAGATGCCCTTCCCATTTCTGCAGGGTCTGCCTGCCCATTCCTACTATCTCTCTTTTATTTTACTCTATAACTTGTTCATATTTTGGACTTCTCATACTAAAGAAACCAGCTGATAGTTAACTTTTTTCTTATTTTGTTCACTTTCTATTGTGACCTCAAGATGCACAACGGAGCACTAAGAGACCATAAATGTGAGTTATACATAGGAAAATGTGTGGAGCATCTTTGCTGGGATGCTAAGTCTCAGCACAGAGATTCACAGTTTCTTTTTTAGGGTTACAATTTGATAGTTTTGAAATTGTGACTCAGAGGTAGCACTTTCCCAAATATCACACAGCAATGAGGAAGCAAAACAAGAACCTGCATGGTGTGCCCGCTGTCCAGAGTTCTGCAGTA